TTCAAATAGGCTAAAAAGACCTTACTAGCTTTTACTTTCAAAATTCTTTTAAATAAACAAAATATAACAATTAATATAAACATGTCTTCTTAATACTGCATTATAGAACTTGGTAACTATGGAAAATTTAGGGGCCCCAAAAAATGAAATTTAATTGGATAGGCTAATTAAAAGGTTATAAAAATTTTTTAAGGATTAACAAATAATTAGGCTAGCTAAAATAAAATTTTAAAAGAAATAACAAAAATAAAATCTATAGGCCTCAACAATAATAACTTTAGATAGTCTCTTTCCTCTTTTTATGAATCCAACTATGATTTAAATATGTGACGAAAACAAAACAACAAGTAACTTGCGGTACGACGGATGACTAGTTCATGGGTCTTCAGGCGCACATCACTGGAGGGCTGCTGAAGTTCGACGGAGAGGTGGGCTGGCCAGAGTCCCAAAAGAGGGCCCCACGAAGAAATGTTTCTCCGCCCATGCTCCAAACGTAGAAGGTTGACGGTAGTCCTCCTGGGCCCTGAGTGACAAAACCCAGAAAACACAGTAGCAACAGTCTAAGTTCATTACCGCAAGGTTCACTGTCACACATTTAATTGTCTTTCACTGACTTCCAAAAATCCACAGATTAGGCCTAACATAATATTTTCAAAAATTTCTAAATTTTTAAAAGGTTTGTTATCACAGCTCTTTAACAATATAAAACATTTTAAACAGTGACAATAATTTAAACAAAACAATTAACAGGGTAAACAGTACAAGATCGGTAACATTAATTTGCGGTAAAAATGTCAGCAGGCCAGACGGGTATGTGACAGTGATGAATTTCACCAATAGAGTGAAAAAATGTAAATTGCCTGGTCCAAAGTGGCCAGGAGAACAAGTTAACACAGAACAATTGACACTTAAACACAGAAAAATACTTTAAAATTGACAAAAAACGTTCCATACAAAAAATTTAGGCCTAACGCAACGACTCATGTATTTTTGCTAATTTCTCCAAAAGTTGTGATCCGAATTTGTTCGGAATGGTCTTAAAAGCTGGGGGAAATGTTCCAGCAGCTTTTCCAGACCATTCCAAACCTTAACTCAAAGGCAGGAACCAGTGGCCTTCCAGGTTACCCAGTTCAAACCTGAATGGAGAATTGCCAAACTAAAAATTACTGTAACTTTCTTAAAACTTGATTAAAATGACTCAAACTTTCTGGGGAGCTTTAAGAGCAGTTAATTCAACTTAATTTAACTAGTTTGGCAAGCACAAAGCAAAATAAAAGGACTTTAACAATACTTGACTGGGTAACACAAACTGAACATTTTACAAGAAAAACAACACTAAAAATTTTACGGGACACAGAACGAAGGGCTACAAAAAGTAGTAGCCTAAGACATTTACATTAAATGAGCAAAATTGTAGGCCTAGGCCTACCACAAACAGTCAAAAGGACAACAACTGACCTGGCAGTTTCTCTCAAATAGCGGCCTTCCAACAAACATTTCTCAGTCAAATTCTAGGCCTAGCATTTCGGGCAAAGCCCTGAATTATACCAAAACAACAGGGAAAAAGGGAAACTAACTATCAAAAGGGTTCCACGACCCCAAGACTAGGTTTCAGACCTAGTGCAAAACGTGGCAAAATAACCTAACTTAAAAAAAATGTGAAAAAATCACCCAAAAGGCGCGCGTGGCGCGATAAATTTTATTCCATGGTCGACGTTAATAACACCCTGAATAAAATTGAGGCAAACTGCAAATAAAACATGCCACACAATAAAGATGTAAAAGGATGAATTATCAACTCGTTGTCGACAGGAGCGATGTCTCGGAGCCTCTGACACTAGACGGTCCGAGTAAGAAAAACAAGACTCACAGCCTTGTTCGGGGTCGTGGAAGTAACAAACGAAACACTGAACTAGCCTACTATAAAAAAAACACTTGAACCATTGAATATGAGTCGTGACATTCGCCCGGTGGAATTAGTCACGGCTCAGAATAAATTATATTGATCAAACCAATAAGTTTCCGTTCCCTACTATGGGTATTATTTCACATTCCATACTCAAACCTCAATTACCACTTTCCTTCAGATCACTTTGCAGGAAAACTAAAACATTTCAAAAATAAGTTAACAAATACACTTTCCTTGATCATAATCGTGTGTTTATAAACAGAAACTCCAAGTTTAATAATTGCATACTGAAAGTGAGGTTATAAAAATAATAACAAATGTCTGACAAACATTAAACAGCTGACGAATAATTTATAAACTGTGTATTATATTCTTCAATAAGAATTGTAATGACTCTACCTTTAAAGGGCTGTAGGTAGTAGCCCTTAGAAAAAACGTAAATTCTAAGGAAGTTCGGCAAATCTACACACTATCCCCTTTAATTTGAGACATAAATCTTGTAGATCGGTCCAGTAATTACTGAGAAAACAGTGTTACAACTGTGTATTAAATATATAGATTATCAGAGTGTTATATATGTAATGTATGTAGGTCAGTATAATATTGGGCTGAAAGATATTGGTCAGCAATAACCGTTCTAATAAATTCGATCACCTACTTCAATCAATATAAACATTACTGTTAGTTCCATTAAACTATGATATACATATTAAAACAAAATTTTTAATAAATGTAAACTGTATAGCTAAAATATGAATGTCTAGGGATGAACTTAAATATTTGTGTGTATATTTATTGATACGGAAGAACTCGTTTGATTAAAAAACAAGTGAAAACTTTCTAAAATAAGGGATATTTTGGCTCTACGATCGTAGCACCTTAATTTTCTCAAGTCCGTAAAGCAAGTCGTTGGAATTGGTGTCTACAAATCTTTATTATGATTGTTATTGTTTTAGGACTTTTTTACCTTTTGAGTCAGCAATATTAGCTTGGAAAAAACTTAGTACAACACTCGTAGTAATTTTACGTGAACTCGTAGCTTTTTCCTTGAAAAAATTGGGATTTGTGCAGTTCCAAGTGTTTAAATGTGATTCGCCATCAAGTATACTTGTTATTAGTACTTATAATGCGTTTATAAAAGAAGAAGCAAATGTGTTATATTGACACACGAAAAATATTGATTATAATTGACTATTTTTAGGAAATAAATAAATTCAGAAAATAATTATGGTAAAATTAGGTCTACATCATAAAACTGTATTGTTGTAAAAAATAAATATTATCGTTATAAATAAAAAAAACTGACAGTAAAATTTATTATCAATATTTGTTATCAATGAAAATCCATATAATAAATTTAAGAAAATCAATAAATGGCCTGTTTAGATGCTTAGAGTAATTTACAAAATGCTTTATAATTGCGAAGTTCTACAACAGGATGTTTGTTTAAATAATAATTTATCTGTACTTGTTAATACTGTTAATACTGTTCTACGAAATGGCGACCATACAAAGTAGGTATTTTAAGCCAAGTATGAATGTAGAGTTTATTATACATCGATGGTATAAATGGAGATGAATGTAGGATGAGTGGCGCGATCTTGTAGTCTTGTTATTGACTAAGGCCGACATTCCTTAGACACAGCTGTTAATTAATAGCCCATACAGCTGGCAAGTATATGGACCTACAGTTTATAGTGGAATCCGAACCACATTTTTACGAATTGGTCTAATTATCAGGATAGTACTGCGGATCGTCGTAGTACTCACCCGTGCGGACGTTAATCCACACTAGGGAGTATCGCATCCACAGTGCATGCCTAAAATATCAACAATTCACATTAACATCCAGGTAATGAAGCTTGGATATTTAAAAACAATCACTTTACTTTAGATTAAACTACTTTTATTAGATTAAATGTTTGAAACAGCTGTTTACTATAAAATGACAGAGTGATAATTAATGGTGCCTGATATTATAAGCTGTCCAATCCCAGTATCCTTCAAAACAAATCTCGTTTCAATCTGAAACGACGGAATTTATTAAGTGTATATGAATTTTAACTTCTCCCTTATACATAATAGGGTAAATAGAGAAATTATTGTTTTCGTCAACATTTTTAGTTTAGGTTTTAGGTGGAAATATTCATTTTGGGACCCCTGAACCCATTTTCAATTTGTACATTAAAGTTTCTTTGAATAAACTTGCAAATTAAATATACACAAATCATTGCAGTCGTGACAAGCATTTATAAGTAACGTACTTGACCTTTCGCATACAAATTGACCTGAATATTATTATTTTTAATATAGCTTTACATTAGTTACTTGTTAGTGTCAAAACAAAAGAATCTTAAAACTCTTCTTGACAACAGTAATATCGTCAACAATGTAGGGGGAATTCAAATCATACAACTACATAGTCAATCAATTAAACACTTAAACGAAAATTTATATAGTCAGCGAGACATGTAATAGAGAAACATGTCCCGAGGTACCCTGTACAACAGTAAGTAGAGTGGTCAGTCGATTACTTCCACACTAAAACACTAATATTTAAAACCGAATTTCAATTAAGGGACTGAAATAATTGTTTTGTGAAATACATCGGTTAGCCATTCATAAATAACAAATTGAGAGGCTTCGGCAAGAGAAATTTTAACGAGAGAACTTTTAATAACACGTCCTAAGGTTTAAGAGATTTCCTCCCTAGAGATGTTTCTGTTAATTGTATAAATTATACATTAGATATTCTCCAAGCTCCCTTATCTTTGTGTTATTGAAATACGTTGCTAAAAAAATTGGGAAAAAGGTATTATAATTTGGTGAATCTATCACAATATAAGTATAGTAATAAAGTTAATATAATATTTTATTATACTAGAACGCTAGGCACGAACCCGGCATTGTTTTCAACATTAATTCAGGCTTGACCTTGGGGTTGCGGTATTATCACTTAGCTAAAATCCATTGGTAATTGGCGGTATTTGAATCCGGGACCTCAGGCACCAAAGTCCCGCGGTCTAACTACTAGATCAGCTCGGTCCCTCAATATTATATTAACCCAATAATTATTAATACTTAAATACTTTTCAAAGAAATGGCGACCATACAAAGTAGGTCTTTTAAGCCAAGTATGAATGGAGATGAGTGTAGGATGAGTGGCGCGATCTTGTAGTCTTGTTAGATAGCAAGGCTGACATATTCCTTAGACACAGCTGTTAATTAATAACCCATACAGCTAATGACAACTAAGGAACCTACTATTTATAGTGGAATCGAAACCACATTTTTGCCTTGGTATTAACGAATTTTTCTAATTATCAGGATAGTATTGCGGATAGTTGTAGTACTCACTAGTGCGGACGTTAATTCACACTAGGGAGTATCGCATCCACAGTGCATGCCTATAAATATCAACAATTCACATTAACATACAGGTAATGAAGCTTGGATATTTAAAAACAATCACTTTACTTTAGATTAAACTACTTTTCTTAGATTAAATGTTTGAAACAGCTGTTTACTATAAAATGACAGAGTGATAATTATAGTGCCTGATATTTTAAGCTGTCCAATCCCAGCATCCTTCAAAACAAATCTCGTTTCAGTCTGAAACGACGGAATTTATTAAGTGTATATGAATTTTAGCTTCTCCCTTATTCATAATAGGGT